ACCCAGGGTGATGCTTTTATGAGCCAAAGAATGCCAAAGATTGGCAGCAAACCTCAGAATCTAGGAGAGAGGCCTGGAACAGAGTCTCCATCAAAACTCTCAGAAGGAACCAACCCTGCTGACACCTTAATACGGGACTTTTGGCCTCCAGAACTACAAGACAATAAATGTCTGTTGTTCGAGCAACCCAGTTTATGGTACTTTCAGAATTCAGAAAGGAACCGAGAAGCAGTGAGGAAGCCCTCTACTGGGGGTGCTGATGGATGAGGCTGGTGTCCTGCTGGCTTAGGTCTGGGCATCCTCCACACTTGGGATGCTCAGTGCCTCCAAGGGCCCTGCAGGTGGCATAAACGGGTAGACAGGCCAGGTGTGAGGATGAGCAGCACACACATTCAAAAAGACACCCTGAGGAACTCCAGTGCATTGAGACATTTGTGTCATTTCTTCCTCGAATTCTGGGCACAGGAATCACATTACGGTTTTCCTCCCAATGGCGTCGTAAGTTATGCTCTTGAGACAATGACATCCTGTGTTTGCCTAGGAGATGCATAGGAGCATTCTTCTCTTTCAGAAAGCAATGTACCCTGTCCTAATTGTCTTGAAAACACCAGACTCCCTTTGTCTACATTTGCTTCCCTCACTTTTGGGCAGAGACATGTCTGGGGAGAAATATTTCTCTCCTGTAGGAAGAGTGGTGAGATAGATGGCTAATAGAGTTGGCACTTTGGGTAAAGCAGACACCCTGGAGACAGAGGGGACTCCCGCCCTCAACTCCACTCCCCCTAATAGGGGTCAAGTCAGATAGGAAGCCCCATTTCACCAGAGTCTAAATTTTCAAGTGATGAAAAAAATTCAAAAATTTTAGGTGAAATCACCAACGTTTTCATTGTTGGCTCAATCTTTATCTATTCTGTAACCTGTTTTATTGTCTTTTGTAAAACATATGACTATCCCCAAATTATTTTGTTTGTTGTTTATTCCCTGTCCCCCCCATGTAAGTAAGGTCTTTGAGAGTAGGCATGTGTCTGTTGTATTTACTAATCTATCTCTAGTGCTTACAGTTGTTCCTGTCACAAAGTAGCTGCTCAGTAAATGCTAGGAGAGTAAATGAATGACGCATCACTTGCTACTGTTTTCATGAATAGAAAGATTTCATGCAACTTCTCTTTTTGTGGAATTGTCTCAGAGCTGCAGTTGATAAAAATCTAAAGATCGACCTTTTTTTTTTTTTTTATCCCAGCCCAGAGTTACTGTGTGCATGTACATGTGAGATCCAAACGGAGGCTGGGATATACACCTGCCTGCCATGGTTCTCACTTAACACCATTAGTCAGCAGGCTTTTAGGAGAGAATTGCACATGTGATTTATTTGCAAATCCTTTCAGGTCCTGAAGGAGAGATACTTAG